AGGCTGGTCACTGAGCTCAGGCTGGGATATTGCTGGCTAGATGCCACGTAAGGGTAAAAGTTGAGGATGGTAACAAGGGAGTATCACCAGGAAGTGAGGGGTAGCGGGCTGCATGAGCCCATGGGGCTGCAGCCAGGGTTAATGAAAAGAGGCGGCAGCTGCCTGGGATCACACCCGTGACGTTAAGACTGTAGCGTTAGGGCGGTCCTGGGTCTTGACAGGGCCAGGATGTGGTCATGGGTGTGTTGGGACTAAATGGCATGGAAGTGAAGGCCACTGGGGCTGCGCGTTCCCTGGCTGTTTCCAAGATGGAATTACTCATCCCTCCTGCTGGCATTTTGGACCTCTGCCTGCTGTATCTCCACGATGACAGCCCCCTTTTTATGCCCTGATTTTAATCATTTGTCCTCTATGCTGCAAAAACAATTTAAAAACAGGTAGAATGTCTTAATCATCTCGTAAACCCAAGGAACAGCTTGTGTGTGCTGTAGTAAGGCTCACAGTGAACGAGAACTTGCCAGCCCTGAGCACTGTGTGCAGCCTGACAGACGTGGTACTGCTCCCTAGAAAAGTGGGTCTTGGTTATCGGTGAGAAGTGACTGTGACGACTTCAGAGAGCCTGGTGGCTCTTAAAAGCCCCAGAGTCTAAGAAATGGCCGAGCATTGGGAATTCAAATGCGTTCCATAAATGCAGAGGTGATGCTACACTGTTTATTCCACTGTCTTCCTATCCCTGGTTTTCAGTCTTGTTCTGTTTCCCCCCTTTGAAGTACATTAGTTACCATGGAAACAGTGATGTCATTGGAATTCATTGGTATGGACAGAGTTTAGTGATGTCTGCAAGAACGTTTTGGAGTCCATTTAAATGATTTCTTAACTCCATGCATAGCTTGGGAAAGGAGGAAAGAGATGAAGGATTAAATTCAGCCCTCTGCCTGAAATGATAAAAAACTATGACAAATCTTTGATTATGGCAGGATTTGTAGGTAGACTCTTTTTCAGACACATAAGAATGTTTAGCCTTATCCATTTTTAATAATGAGTGATTTGTCTATGGTTTCATTCTGACCCACGTTGTTTACATCCTTTTCCAAGAGCACCTCACGTTCCTTGCTACTGTTTTAACGCCTGAATGTTTGGCCTCACAGGCATTTTCTTCCTTGGTCCTTTCTTTGGGAGCTAACACAGCTCCTGAAAAGTACCACAATGTGTGTTTACTCTCTTATTTCTTAGTTATATAAGGGCTCGTAGAACTTTAATTCAGCAAACGGTTGTTAACGGACATGTTCCATGAGTACGTTTTTGCTGATACTTGATGTTCTTTCTGCTTCAGCATTGTGTTCCAGTTTGCTTTCTGTTGCTGTGATAAATGCCATGACCAAGGGCAACGTGGGAGGAAATGGTTTGTTTCATCTCAAGCATCACTCTCCAGCACTGAAGGAAGCCAAAGCAGAAACCATGGAGAAATGATGCTTCCTGGCTTCCTTTCCCTGGCTTGCTCAGCTGCCTTTCTTACACAGTCCAGGCCTGCCTGCCCAAGTCCACAGTGGGCTGGATGCTCCTGTATCAGTTGGTAATTCATAATTACTCAGCTGAGGTTTCCTCTTCCCTGGTGACTCTAGCCCATGTCAGGTTGACTTTTGCTGGCCTGCATGGACTGAGTGTCTGTGATGACCTCAGAAAGGAAAGCAGTGCCTTTCTCTGAGTACTTTTGACCCGCTGATTAGCTCTGATGTGGGGGTGGGACCTACATTCTGAGACTAAGAACATTTCTCAGCTGGACCAGCGGGCTGGTATTGGGATAGCCTTTATTCGATTTGCTTCTTCTCATAGTTCTGTAATTCCGACATGGTGGCCTGTTGCCTGATGAAGTCATTTCCATCCTGGGGAACCTATGATTTCAGCTCAGGAGTTACTTGCCCTAGTTTTTTTTTTTTTTTTTTTTCTTCTCCTTTTAATAGGCCACATGAAGTTAATGATGCTTGCTGTCAACTCCTTATACACACGTCCAGTTTGCCTCTCACCCCATTACAGGTTTACCTGACTGTCTTCACAGAACAGTCCAGGTTTCTGGGTGGTAAGGGAACCTGCCTTAACCATCCTGCCCAGCTCAGCCACCTGGCACACAGACATACTGTCACTGCGACCCAGGGTAGATGCCATCCCCTGCCCACTGTTCGTCCTCCCCTGTACATAGGTGACTCTGCCCTGTCCTCTGTCACAGTCACCTTGGTGTTCCACTCCTGCAGCGTTCCTGCATCCCACGTGTCCTCAGAGTCTTCAGCATGCCGCTTCCCACCTGAGCACATTTTACCCTCACTTTTCACTTAGGAAATCTCTTTTCATCCTTAGGTACCCAGACTAAACAAATGGACTTGGACTTGACGTAGCACTGTTAACTAGGAGAGCTCCTCCTGTCCATGGCTTCATGTGTTCTTCTTTCACCTTGCACCTTTGCAGCCCCACACTGTAAGCTCCGTCGATGGAGGGACCACCAGCCTTGGTCTGCGTCTAAACCTGCAGCTGCTTACTAAATATGTACTAGATGAATGATCTGGGAGGATCTTTCTTATTAGGTCTAGGGATGCTAAGTCTATGTCTATACCTGCAGCTGCTTACTAAATAGGTACTAGATCAATGATCTGGGGAGGATCTTTCTTATTAGGTCTAGGGATACTGAGTCTGAAAACTCAGGCAAGTCCAGCAGTGTTGAGGATCGCTCAGTTGGTCTGTAACTGAGATCTGGACTTTTCTTATGAAGGGAGCCCATTAAAAAGCTGGCCAAGAAGTAGATGCACCTAGGACGGAGCTTTAGCATGTTTTCATCTGCTAGAGATTTCTAGGAAGGACGGGCTC